TTATCTGCCCATTCACACACACACACACACACACATATATATATATATATATATATATTACTGTCTTATAGGAGGATTTATATTTCATATCGTTCAGCAGTCTTTCTTTATTTCTACTGTCTCAAATCCCTTCTTCAAGTGTCATTGTCTTTCTCACTAGAGCTAAACGTATGGAACAAACATGACACCGATGGTCATTACAATTGATCCCTTTGCGTCTTAGTGGCTTTATCGCCTTGTTTGGGGTAAAACCATAAACAAATGTCAATTGTAATTGCTAGAAAAAATGTAGACGAAAGAGGGCTTGGAAAATTTGACATTCATTGGATATACTGAAGGTTACTTGAGCTTCAAAGCGAAAGGAATTTTGGATAGCCATCTTCACTCAGACTATTTAGGGGTTTTTTTTGGTTTGTTTTGTTTAACGGCATATCAACTTCAATGGGTCATTTAATGCCTCAACTTCTTTTTTTTTTTCAAAAATCTATTTATTTTTTCCCTCAAAAATGTATAGCTGGTAATATTATTTTCCAAAACGTGTAGCTGATAATATTATTTTTTCAAAAACGTATAGTTGGTAATATTATTTTTTCAAAAACGTATAGCTGGTAATATTATTTTTTCAAAAACGTATAGCAGGTAATATTATTTTTTCAAAAACGTATAGCAGGTAATATTATTTTTTCAAAAACGTATAGCTGGTAATATTATTTTTTCAAAAACGTATAGCAGGTAATATTATTTTTTTCAAAAACGTATAGCAGGTAATATTATTTTTTCAAAAACGTATAGCTGGTAATATTATTTTTTCAAAAACGTATAGCAGGTAATATTATTTTTTTCAAAAACGTATAGCAGGTAATATTATTTTTTCAAAAACGTATAGCTGGTAATATTATTTTTTTCAAAAACGTATAGCAGGTAATATTATTTTTTCAAAAACCTATAGCTGGTAATATTATTTTTTTCAAAAACTTATAGCAGGTAATATTATTTTTTTCAAAAACGTATAGCTGGTAATATTATTTTTTTCAAAAAACGTATAGCAGGCAACATAATTTTTCTCAAAAACGTATTATCAGAGGCCTTGCTGTTGGACGTAGTTTATCGTCTTACCCAGGACGCGGATATAGTTTATCGTCATACCCAGGACGCGGATATAGTTTATCGTCTTACCCAGGACGCGGGTATAGTTTATCGTCATACCCAGGACGCAACTATTTAGGAGAAGAAAAAATACCGAACATGTTAATAAGGTCAACATGAAAAGACCCGTATAGAAAATCATTCGCAAATAATAATCAAATACTAACTGCGACCGAAAAACCTATTCTTCCCAGAAATACCACCCACATAATGGCAAGACATTAGCTAGATAAAGACACCTTTAATAGTAATGTCTTACCAGTATGTGGGAGGTATATCTGAGAGGTATTTTTTGTTTTATGTTTTACCCTGTAGAAAGAAAGGATAGAAAAAAAGAGGAGAGAATGATGTTAACCCTGGTCACCAGATATTATAATTAATAAAACTGGATCATTTTTGCTTGTATTTTTCCGTCTTTATCTTCGACACTCTTTGCGTATTTAGTCGCTTTCTCTGTCTCTTTAATTCAGTTACGTCTCAATTATGCTCCCAGCTTTAGCTTCCTTTGTTTTCCACAGCGACCATCCGGCCCTTAACTAGCTCATATCTACCTTATTTGCTACCTTCTTCTTTCTGTCCATCTCTGTGACATTTTGTTGCTGATGTCTTGAAGATCTGGCAATCCTCGCTTAAGAAGCATCAGGTGATGAGATAAGATCTCACAGGATACATTTTTGAATGTCAAAGATATTTTCCTACAGGTTTTTATTTCGCTATTTGCAAGCGATTTACGTTCCGCGGAGGCTGACCTTTCATCGATGGAAAATGTCTTTTTTTTTTCTTTTTTTTTGTTTTTTGGGGGTAACCTTTAAGCCTAATCCTCAGTATATGAATTCTTTCCTCATCGAAGCGTGAAATCTTGCCTTTTCTTATAGTTAACAATCCAGAAAAAAAACACCGTCTAGTGGGAGCTTCAGTTGAGTGGAGATCATCCTGAATTTACGTTATCGATTATTTCTCAAGACTGGCGCCTTGATGTAAAATCCATTCTTGCGTTGTTTTGAAATTAGCGCTGTTCTGTAGAGTCTTTGAAAGTTCTGTTTTACTATTCATAGCACTGAAACTCATCGACGCCCAAAACCCTTACTGCAATTTGTAATCCTAATGGCAATATTAGCAGTTTATTTATTTGACATTCATTGACCGAGAGGTCACAATTTGGCATCCATTGACCGAGAGGTCAAAATTGGCATCCATTGACTGAGAGGTTTCAATTGCTGTCGGTTGAAACATATAAAATATTTCTATTAAAATAATTTTTCATGAAAATTAGTTTTCTCAAGTTCTTTAAACTACTACTGCTCTTTAGCATTGGTGTTTCTTTTCTAACCTTTTGCTCGATGTACTGTGGAAGGTCAACATCTTGATTATGACATTATTTGCACTTCGTGTTATATTTGCAGTCCAATTTAGTTGATGCTGTTGTTAAAAGATGTCAAATGATGTAGTTTGTGTTATTTGGCACACTTCATTGTTTGTGATTCTGTAGCGCCAGTTCAGGAGGTTCGAACTAACACAATCCTCGCTAAGCTTTACACGTTTTAGTCACTGAAAGCAATTTTTAATCATTGATCTGAGAAATCGGCTGACAGTTTAGATATTTTCTGAATGTGGTTGGTAACCTACATAACATTCACCTGAAAATTCGCTCAATTTGCTGATGCTATTTAAGGACCTGTCTATATTTCTAAGATTAGATATTATGTACACTATTTATATTATTCGGACTATTGTCCTCATCTTTGTCGCCATATTTATCACAACGTTTCGGCCGTTGTACGCCCCGGCCTCCTTAAAGTGGTGTGGATAACGAACTGAACCCTTTATTTCGCTCACTGGAGTAGACTGTTCTAGTTCCACATGCCATGTTTAATGGATGCCATTTATCAATTATCTCCTGTTAATTCCCCTCTGCAAGTTCTCCACTACCTTAACCGGGTATTGAACTCAAACTCAAAGGCACATGGTACAGTGGATAAAGGTGTAAGTTAGATCCAGTGACAGGACCCAAAGAGTGTGAGTTCAATACCCGGTTAAGGCAGTGGAGAACTTTCAGAGGGAAATTAACAGGAGATAACTGATAACTGACATCCATCAAACATGGCACGTGGAACTAGAACAGTCTACCCCAGTGAGCGAAATAAAGGGTTCAGTTCGACATTACAACCACCTGAAGAATGCCGGAGCGTACAACGGCCGAAACGTTGTAATAAACATGGCGACAAAGATGAGGACAATAGTCCGAATAATGTAAATAATGTCTATTTAAGGACACAACTCTAGTTCTTAGGCAATTGCCATCAGGGTGGCTGATGCGGAACTTCAAAAGAGAAACGCTCTTTATTAGTCTCACGTTTTCCACTGTCACGTAGTGAAGCAACTATATCGAGTCAATTTCTACGTCTTGTGTAAGCAAGATTGATTCACTGTGCCGTGTCAAAATAGTTTTCTTGTCAGAATCCATCTTACACATTTATAAATTTTCTACTCGTCCGTGTTTTGAATCCTGTTACCATAGTGGATGTGGTGTCCGAATTGTGCATCTTCAGATTCTTGAAAAAATCCAGAGAAGCATCTACCATAGAATAGATTCTGATCAGACATCTCGTCTCCAGTCACGTTCTCACCGACGTGACGTGGTTTCCCTCTGTCTGTTCTACAAATACTTCCATAGCAAATGCTCTGATGAGCCTTTTTTCCTGGTACCCGCACTACATAAGCGTATTTAAGCGTGCCACTAGATTGGCAATTAGGTCTTAACGTTTTACTGTTAAACTATCTACATGCAACCGATAATTCTACTCTAACATATTTTTCTCGTAATTTCTACCTGTGGAATTTCTTTCTTGCTTCCTTGATAACTAAAAAAGATCAGGATAAAATTAGAAGGTATTAGATTTTTTAGATTTCCACTTAGACTGTAAATAAATTCAACGTATCAGCACCCCCTCCCCAGATATAGTCTCCCATCATGTTTTCGTTATATGATCCTTGGTAGACAGAACGTTCTAGAAATTATTGAAACTTTTTGAAATGTCTCGAAAGTTCTTGAAACTTCAAGAAAGTTGTAGAAAATTCTCCTTCAGTAACTCATCGCTCTAGAATCTCTCTAATGTAAAGTAGGTTAATTTCAAAACATCGATGTCCAAGTCACTAAAACAAGGTTTGTAGGGAATAAAAACCATTTCATTAGCTTTCTAGACAAGAAATAATACTTACTAACCAAAAATAATTAAAAAATTCTCCTTCAGTAACTCATCGCTCTGGAATCTCTCTAATGTAAAGTAGGTTAATTTCAAAACATCGATGTCCAGGTCACTAAAACAAGGTTTATAGGGAGCAAAAACCATTTCATTAGCTTTCTAGACAGGAAATAATACTTACTAACCAAAAACAATTAAAAATTTGTTACACAGTGTAATATATTAGAACGAAATTAAATGTTTAAAAAAAAAAAAAATTCCGAACAACTTAATATATCTTTTGTAAAAAACAAAAAAAAAAAGAAATTGATTGGTTGGTTGCCTCATTTTCCTTCGCCTTCATCCTGGATCTGCTGATGGCTCCTAGCTCTTTGGGAATCAGTTTTCTCCGGTCGAAAGATAGAACCTTCGAGAAAGACTGGAGTAGATTCTGTTGACTGGTGAGCGCGCGTAATTAATTTGACAAGGCAAAAGGAAAGTTTTTGAATATGCTCAAGAGCGGTCCAGGCATAATCACGGTTGGTGCGTCAGTTACAGCCATTCGCACGAGGATCAATCAGAGCCAAGTGCGCAGTGGTCAGTCAGTAGTTGAGGTGGAGGAAGAGGAAGAAGCCATGTTGGGTCGAACCATGTGGTTTATAACAACAGTACTCGCAGAGCAGGAAGAAAGAAGGAAGGAAAGAGAGAGAGAGAGAGAGAGAGGGGGAGGCAAATATTCACGGGTCCGTTTCATTGTTCCCCTGATATATGAGGGTCCGATGTTCCTATCATTTCAGCAGGAAGGAAGAAAAAAAAGATTAGAAAAAAAGAGAGAACAAGAAAAATTGGATATTTTCTCTCATACATCACGTCTGTCTATTTCTTTCTCGACCAAGAGGTTTTTCTCTCATGGTGTGTGTATCTCTTCCAATCCAGCCCATCTCCTGCAAGTTTTTTTTCGGCAACGGTTATCTCCGGCCACAAAAAAAAAAAAAAAAAAAAAGACGAACTATACTACTAGTTTGAAGTGTATCGATATAAGATATCAATATAATGGGAACACTTCAGCATTTTTATTTTTTTAATTCCATGTCCATCAAGACGAAGGCTATAATGATTCTTCGCAGGAAACTTTTCTTTATAAAATATATATATATATTTTTTTTTTATTCTATTAATTTGGCCAAAAAATTCGTTCAATTAAATTTTCAGCTGAATTACCGAACGGTAATGTCTAACCCTGTGATCATTATAGTCTTGGCATTTACGCTGATGATACAGCCGTTTACTCCTGCCTCTACAGTAAGGCTGATCAATCCGACTAGGTCAAAATGGCAGCCGATGTCCAAAATGGCCTCAAGTCTGCCATTAATTGGGGTAAAAGATCTCTTGTCAATTTTAACGCCTACAAAACAAAACTTCACGCCATTAATCATCTACGAGAAACCCTCCCTGCCTTCCATCGACATGGCCGATGCTGTCCCCCGGGTAAGTGACTCATGAAGTGGAATGTCTATACTGGATCCATTGCTAAGGTCAGCTCCTTAGTTCACCGTAACAATCGAGACATTGCCTACCATTCGCCCATGCTTAGAATATTGCTGCCACATAAAGTCAGGTGCCCCTGCTATTTTACTTGGGCTCGATGATAAGATCCAAAGAAAAATGAGCAATATTATTGGTCCTGATCTGACCAACTTCGACGTGGTATAATGGCTAGCAAACTTGTCTCGCTAGAGCAATTATAACTGAATAGTCAGTTCGATCCTCACTAGGTGCCCCATATATCGGCCTTGTGCCACATCTAAGCTACGCTAAAAAATCACCTCTCTAGGTGCTCCCTCGCTTCGATTGCTGAGCTACACTTAGAAAATCCACATACAAGCACTTATAAAGTACTAACAGGCTTCTCCCGCTCGCTATCGCTTCGCAAAGATATATTCACTACTTGAAACCTTTGAAACTAAAATTTTACTTGAACATTTCATTCATAAATTGGCTTGTCATACTTAAGCAAAGTTTTACAAATAGATGCAAACTTGTTGAAGGCCAAGTAAAATGGAAATTTCAAACACTTTTCTGCGCTATATGATATTCCTATACAGAAGTATTTTTGATATGAAAATCAAACCAATCCTAGAATAAAAGAACACAAATGAAGGACAGTTAATTAATGAAATATACTTTTTTAAAATCAATATGCAAATTAGTTAAACCTGAAGAGTGATATTGCCTAGAAGCATATAATATATAATACAGATATTGAGCTTCGTTCTCATCTTTTCATTTTCCGTCAAGTATGTATATTTTTTCTTTTTTTGGCCAAGGCTTTATTTAGCTTTTAATTCTTTTTCGTTTCTCTTAGAAATCTCAGCATTTTCAACTGGAATCGAACCCCGATACGCAATTTCAAATACAAGCTCATCCTATCATTCAATTTATTTGAATGTAGCACAAAAGCTTAAAAGCCATTGAAGATCGAATATTGAAGGGAGTAATGGCTTGCAAGACGAATTTTCAAACTATTCCTCTTCAGCGAAACGTCTTAGCAAATCATTTGCTTAAAACCGATTTTAATTTCATCCCTTTTATTTTCTCTTCCTATACCATTATTATTATTATTATTATTATTATTATTATTAATATTATTTTTTTTTTTTTTTACCGAGCTCATATTTTGTATTTCATTTTGTATTTCGTATTTATTCCATTTCGCACTCGATAATTCTTTGTCTTCTTCCCCACTTTAATGTCTTACTCATATTTCAGGGTTCTTAAATGCATATTCCCTTTTTTAGTCGCATTTCAACCTATTCGTGTCGTCATTAAAAATAAACACAGGGGGTGGAGAAAGTGCTAATTTTAAATATCCACTTCGTTCTATTTTTAGAATTCTTGACAGATGCAACCATTTGCATCCTTTCTGTTTTCTCAAGTATCAAACTCTGCGTAATTTTCATTCCATTTTTGCCTGAATTTTAGTCCCGTGACTGCCAGAATATCAAGTGCTCTTCTCAAGACTACATTATGGATACTAATGTTCATCAGCACAAATTCTTAGAGCCTCTCAATGTAGAGTTACTGCTAAAATTATTGTGATGTTTGATTCGTTTTCTACGGCTTATTTCTGTTTATTTAAAACCAGAAAATATTTTTAAATTGTAAGAATATTTTTTGGAGATAATAATGACTTAATGATACCAATGTTATTAATTAACCCTTTGATCCCAACGTTCCTGAACAATTTTAACCCTTCTGTCTGAGCTCCTGAATTAATTGGTATGTAATGTTTCATGGTAGATATAAAAATAGTTACAAGTGTTTAACTACCGTTCAACTGGTGGCTGGGCATTAAGTCATTTTTCTCTACCACTGTTCAACCGGTGGTTAAGCTTTACGCCATTTTTCTCTACCACCGGTAAAGCGGTGGTCAGGGCGCAAAGTGTTGACCCGTAGCTGGGAGAGAAGGGGTGAGTTCATAACTTTTTCCAGGGTATTTGCGCATCAGTGACTATAACGGTCACAAATGAAATTTGAACTCAACTCACTGATTCCGAGCCATTATCGATTACGCCACACGCATATTTAAGCTTGCAACGCCTGGTATTCTTACGCGGTCACCCATCTAGTTACTGACCGGGTTCGACGTTGCTTCATTTCGGTGTTCGTATGAAGATAAGGAAAATAAATAACGATTGACCTTTGAATTGCAGTGACCCCGACCATGTATAGCTGGCCACAAGTATTCGAGGATATCCGTTTACTAGGGCGGCTAGCCAATCCCTATTGCAGACGCTTGCTCAGGCACATTTATGTTTGTTCAACACACACAGAGCCTACCTATGCTAAGTAGACCTTAGTTACAGTGTTATCTAGCGTGATCAACAATTTGAACAAGGCCAGCACACGCAAACCCTCGGCCACGATGACTTGTGACTTCGTGCTAGCACAGCCATCGTGTATTCCGTGTAACCAATTTCACTCACAAGGCTTGGTATGGTTTTCAGGCACTTTCCAAAGGTGCCGCATGATGGGATCGACCCCTCCAATCCGAAGTCTCCTTCTTGACAAATCGACCATTTGCCGATTCATCTGAAAATTTGTATCGGGAATAGTTATAAAGTAATGATAGGCTTGTGATTTGGCGACTGTAGGAAGGAGTAGGCAATAAGCTTTCCGTTAAAAAACAATGTAAACGATTTTAGAACTCTATCAAGACTGGAAAATAAGGACTGAGAATTTTCAGACAGGATATGGTAACAATTCTTCGGTTTTGGTTGAATCTAACACTTGTGAAGTAAAAGCGTGGCAGAAGGAGTCAAGAACAGGATACAATAAGTAAACTGTCGCCAGTTTATATTTATAATTTTGCGCATGCGCGTTGTTTGCTTTTGATTTTGCCGACTGCACGATATACTAGGGTCAATTGTGCACCGTCTGTGAGAATTTTGGAAACGGCATGCTGTACTGTTTGTTGTTCGAAAGCTCCAATACGAACATTTCAGTGTTCGGGGGTCAATCTGAGGACAGAGGGAAGGATTTGGAAAGAGTTGGATAAATCTAATTTTGATTATGAAGGTACGGATGATCGGAAAACTCACTCTGATTGTCCTGATAAGAAAAGAACTCCTGAATTAGTTGATGAGGGCCTCAGACTCAACACAGAATTCTACATCAAGTACCTTGATGAGGTAGTACTGGCCTGGGTCGAGATGGTGTCTTTTTTGAAGAACCTATGTCCAGTAAGAGGACACTGCATCATACCACACAAGCAGAAAAAAAAAACAGTCATGGCTGTCAGACAATTTCTACGACGACATTACTTTTTACATCTGGCCACCTAACTCCACAGACTGCAATCTACTGATGATTATATGTGGGGCGCAGTTAAACGAGAGACCGACAAAACTCAATGTAACCCCCAAGATGAACTGAAGGCAAGGATTATGGCAACATTCTCCCACTTAAAAAACGAGACTCTCCCGAAGAGTTACAGGAGATTCCGAAGTCGTCAGTACATTGTGGCCGTGTTCATAGCTGATATTATTGAGTGTTGGCTTCTTTTTTATTAATAATGCTTCCATAATTTTTATCTTTTTTTTTTTTTTACATTGGATGAGACTATTATATTTGTATTATTAACAACTATGTTACGGGTGGATTTTGAAAGGGCTACTCATTTGTGCGTAGACGACAGTTTATACATCGCACGTGTCTGTGTTTGTGTGTGTGTGTCTAAAAATAAAATCTGACTCTTGCGAAGTTAAAGCGTGGCAGACGGAATCACGTATATTCTATATTCTGGAGCGGAATAATGCACCAACCATTATTCAAGCATCTGAGCAATAAACTATTTTTAGTTTCTGACCACAACGTATTAGAATTGACTTAGTAAAACTTGTAAATATCTGAGTGGGAGAAAGCAGTGTTTTTTTTTTCCTTAGACTCTATTTGACGTGTTTTATACCTGATCCGCCATCATTTAACCACAAATCCTTTTGATCAACGCTGTAGAAATCTCCGTCATGTGTTTTTCAAAAACTAACACATGAATTGTTAGTTTGAAAGGCAACGATATTTACTGAGGAAGTCAAGCGAGTGGCAGATAGCAAATATTTTTCTTTGATGATTGAGAAACAGTCAGTATGGGTTGTGTAGTTGACAGTGACGTCATTTAATAATGTTAAGTTTCCTCAATAGAGTTTGATAAATGTATTGACAATTCGTTTGAGCTAATAACAGTTGAAAGGCTCA